ACAAACATATCCACGAAAACTTCCCTTTTTTCATAATTTTTAGGGGTTTGAGAAAATTTAATTTTCTTTAAATCGCAAAAATTCGAAAAATCTTGACTGCTATAACTCAGATATGAATTTATATAAATAAGTTGCAATAATAGGTCAAATCTATCAGATTTCAAGCCAACCTTTTGTCGAAGTTTTGCAATAAAAAACTTAAATTTTTTCGAAACCTGGTATCGACCCCTAAATTTTTTTGGAAATTTTGAATTTTTCGTGGTTGTCTTTATTTTGCATCCTATATAAAATGTAGATGTTGGTATTTTAAGGACCAGCCTAACCCATACATGTTTGTTTCTCTACAGAATACTCGCAGTTATGGAACTTAATGAAAAATAAACACTAATTTATTGATGTAGTTGTTGCTTTCAAATTCTACTATGCCCTTAGTGAGTAAGCCACCGACTTTAGGGCAAAGTAGATTCCTGAAAGCAAATGAGTAAGGATGTAAGGCATATGAATTTTCATTTTTTTTTTTTAGTTAAACACACATACGCGGAGAGGATGAGGAATAATGAAAAACCAAGAAAAATAACGTTTTGATGAAAATAGGTTAAAAAGTTCCTGCAGTGAAGAACTTCTAGCAAAAACCACTTTCTACTGGGAGAATTATGACTGCGATCGAAAATGTTTTTTCAGTACCACATTCCATAAAATTCCAAGTCAACCGAATAAAAAAGTTTTAAAAACACATTGTTGACCTTACACAGTGGTCTTGAAACAATGATAGGTATGACTAAAATGCCAACCAAAACTGCTTGCATACCTGTTTTGGAACGCACCCATAGACCAATATGCCGTTGGAATTAAAATCATATCTGTTCCTATGCCTAAAATATTGTCAAATGAAAATTTGGAAAAAATTTAACTGCAATTGTTAGTATTTCTTGTTCAACAGAGTATTCTAAAGTTATCGTTTTGTATTTTAGTGTAAAAAAAAACAGATAGTATTTTCTCCAAGATAATATTTCTGGTGTAAGCTATTTGATTGCACATCATGTCTTCTATAAGTCATCCGCAACATAAGTGTAATCACGAAGAGAACAGATTTAAAGTGTGCGCGCCTTGTGGGAGAAAGATTAAATTCGGATCGTCAAAATCTTCAGAATTTAATATAACCGCAAAATTGGAGTGTCTTATTAAAAAATACGTTAGTGAAAATTTTAGATTAACCAATTCGAAGTTCCCATTAGGCATTTGTGGTACATGTCGTAGGGTTCTCTGTGACCGAGATAAGGATATACCAAATGCAACGCGGCCTCTTCCAAACATGCCTAACTATGAAGATTCGACAAAAGAAACAAGAACAAGTTCATGCTCTTGTTATATCTGGCTCACTGCTCGGGCAACCAGCCATCCAAAAGTTATACAAGGGAGAGCACATACCTTAAATGTATTGAGTGAAAAAAACTCCACCAATGGGTTGACTGCTTTGTCAGTTGGGTCAGAATTAAAAAATCATGTAAGTAAACTCGCTAAAGCCTTCCGAAGCACAGAAATGTCGGAAACATTAAAAATTCACGTGCTTCTAAATCATTTGGAACATTGTCTGCATTTTTTAGGCAACGACGGCTTCGGAATGTGGTCGGAGCAAGCTGGAGAATCCATTCATGGCGTATTTTTAAGATTTTGGCTCAATTATAAAGTTAATTCGATTGACGACCCTAAATATATAATCAATTAAAAAAAAACTGTAGTTGAATTTTCATCAAAACACATATGAATTTATATAAAATAATATTTTATATTGACTTTGTATATTTATAAAATTTATGCAACGAGAATTATTAAAATATGCAATTATGTAATATTATCTCTTGAATAACTAAGTTAAAATATTTTATGCTTATAACGTAAGAAAGTGTTATAATTATATTACCATAGACCTTCGCGATTATATAACTGGATTTGGAAAGTTCTAGATCAACATTTTTTAATATTTTAAGCATAGGAGCAGATGGAATTTTATTTTCAACGAAATTTTGATCTATGATTATGTACAAAGACAGTTATGTAAGCCATTTTGGTTGGCATTTTCGTCATAGCTATGGTTGCTTCAAGACCACTGTGCTTAGTTATGATGCGGTTGACATGGAAATTTCCATATCGTCGTTTAAAGTACAAAACCGCGTATCAAGAAAATGCAAAACCGCGTATGTAAATTATGTAAATTATTTTCTAGAGAGTAAAAACACTCATGTTTCAAAATGGTTCTCTTTTTTTAGAAAGAAATCACATTCCTGGCTAGTATATTTCAGGGCGAATGGATAAGGATTGAGCCAAGAGCTTGTGTGAGCAAATCCAATTTTTGGCAGCTAATGCCAGTTACGCGGTTTTGCAGAATGACGATACGCGGTTTTGTACTTTAATCGACGATATGTATATATTATGTATATCGGACCATCAAGAAAGTCATCCAGGCGCGCTAACCGACATTATCAAAGAAGGAAAAGCCGCATGCCTTTCGACATGGCAAGATAGTTGCTACAGCGGCCCCCATGGGAAATGCGGGCACACCCTTATTACTGATATAGGAAAATGGGCAAAGCGTATAAATGGTCAATGCAATTTCCATTTGTGCTCAGTCTTCAACGTCAACGAAGATGCTCGCCATGCCTTTTTACTTGTCCACGCTTCAGCGCTAAAAGAATGGAGCTAGTTAACATAACTGGCACAATACCAAGCCCGCAAAATATCGTTGAGCGAAATTGGAACACAATTGCCAACATCAAAAGATGAAAACAGGTGCCGCAGGAACCTAGGTCACAGGCCATAACTTAGGGTCTGAGTGTGCAGAGTAAATATATTTAAAATGTGAGCTTGACATTAGTAGATGGTGGGTGCGGTTAGCTGACCCGTCAGGGGTCGTGTTCATGTAAACGACTGCGGCGTTTGTTCAAGTAGATGTAACTTCACTTACTGCATCGGAACTGACGTAATACTTTACGTTAGTACCGGTTCTTTGGCTATTGATTAGCTATCTACAGTCACAGAAACGGCGGTAACGCACCTTATGGCCACCCACTCGTTGCGTTTTATTTTCCTAGCTTGTGTCGCTCTAATCTTGTCTGTGGACCTCTGACACTTTATTAAAGGCCCAGCAGCTCTCAACTCCATAGCTTATGCCAACTTCTGATTTTCTTCCTTGTCAGGTTGGTAAATATGTTTGACGAACGCAACTAGAGCTTGAGCGAGCCCGAATGACTGCTTGGATATCTGCTTAAACTTCAGTCGGGAACACCATGAGCCATATGCCTATAGGAATTGATAGTTTTGAGTGCCTCTTCACCAGACTTTCCACGAATTAGAGATCGCTGGAAGAATCTTCTCTCTCTGGAGTTGAAGTGAACGAAGCCTGAAGTAGCATTTAGAGCAACTTCTTTCACCATTGGGCCGACATCGATTAGCCCTGAGGCAGGACCATAGTATTATCAGTATCTGAGTCCGAAGAGATTTCGGACCCCAGCTGGGCTTTTAGTTCGGGAGTTCCTGCTATGCAGACGGAGTTTCTGAGTTCTGACGACGCCTCGGAATAGCCTTGCACGTGCCCTATGGCTCCGCTGGGAGTGGCAGTAGGCAGTCTACTAGCAGCTGCTGCTGAAGTTGGACTGATCTCTGCCGTGCAGGCTTGGTCCAGGAGTGACGATTTTTGAGCATCATCAGGCTCGTTCTGTAAAGTGATTTTAATTGTATTTTTTCTTAATGTTTTACCCACGCGTAACGGGAAATGGATATGTGGTATAAACTACACCGCGGTTATCTTGATACCATAGCTAGTCTCATTGAAACTGGAAGACGACCAGTATCCAGAGTCCGAATATTAGGAAACAGGCACACCCCTCGAGTTGTGGTAATACATGGGAAGGAGAGGCAGCTCAGAAAAGAATCCAAGAAATGGCATGAGACCAAAGTCAGATCCATCACCCTGACTGTCTTCTAATATCAACTTCTCCTCGCACGGAGGGTTCTTTTCCCCACCCGACTGCCACTAGCCAGCACTATAACCAGATACATGGCCATAGCTATAGCCCCTTTCCAGCCGCCCTCACGTGGAGAGTGTAGCCGCACTTGCGACAGTACATGCGGCACCCACTAAGGTGTGGCGACCATCAAGAGGCTTATGCAACCATAATCATAAAATATCGTCTTATTACATTTAGAATGCAGTTTCTTATACCGATTGCTGAGTGAAAGTTGGAAATATCTTGGCAGCCGGTTCGAAAATGCCCTAACTCAGAAAATGGATCAAGAACGCCCTACTTCAGAATTTGATTGAACAAATGGTTAAAAAGCGCCCTATCTGCCGATATATTGAATTTACATTGAGACAGGGCGTTCTTGAACCATTTGCTGAATTTGGATGTTCTTCAACCAAATTCTGAAATAGGGTGATCTTGAAAAACTTGCTGAGACAGGGTGTTTTCGAACCGGCTGCCCAGATAGGTCAACGTTTCACCCAGCCGTCGATATAGTATCTGATATCCCTAAAGTTATAACATCGATTTTTGATTGATGTATCTAAACCAGTGACGATCCGTGCTAACTAAGTTCGAGTATATGAAATAAAGTAGACTAAGAGGTGCCAAAATTTGTTTGCGGTATCTAGGCTACACAGTACTTATACTTAAAAAGAGCTCGTAGTTTTTCAAATCTCAGCTACCTGCCTGCACAGATTCAACATTTAATATCTATTTGCTTTCGTTTTTTTTTTTTTTGTTTGCAAACTTGTAGCGTGAGATTTGCGCTCCGATTGTGCGCTTGCGAAATCCACTTCCGTACATCAGTGCTAAGTGACACACATCGCTACTCAATGGCTGTGGTTGACGCTGAAGCTGGCCTACTAAAGGTACTCTTATTATTCATTCATTCACCTGGTTTTTGGACCGAAAAGTGCAAATTTGACTTAAGCTCCATACTACGTCATACACAAGATACACATCTTGATTGCTTGGTATGCAGTTATTTATAGTTATCTCACTTGCACGCTGAGCATCATGCTAACACTTTCACACTCATTACCGCTAACTAGCGAACACAAACGGCCGATAAGCAAATAAACAAAATCAACCGACCAAAACAAACATAGTCAGTTATAGCCGCAGTGAATTTGGTGGAAATAGTTATAAATTCACATCTGCGCAGTTTGGCCAAGAAAATAATTCGTCGGGAAAAAATACCTAGTCTTTATTAAAGTCGTTATGAAGTTAGTGTTATTAAAATGTTAACTAAAGTATTTTCGAATTAAGACACCTGTACTACGGTGTATGAATCTGTACCTCAAGAAAGTGATTTTGACGCAGTTGCACAGGAAAATTTTCAGCACCAGCAGCTGAGTTTATTGAAGTGGAAGCAGCTTTGAAGTTTGTGGAAGCAGTGACGCTGATCGTACGCATAGACCTCTCTGTATTTTGTTACCAACAGCAGCTTGTACCTGAAAGACGGTTGTGTGGCTTTGGTTAGCATCTTTCGCTGGCTGTTTGAGATTTTCAGTTTGTGTTGACGCTTCAGTTCAACTTGTTGCAATGATCGTGATTTGCATATTCATCTCGCTAACGATCGTCTCGGCTGTGAATTATTTTAAGTCGCGTAGAAAACGTGCGCTCATCACAAATCTCAGTGGACCACTAGCTCTGCCGCTAATTGGATCAGTGCAAAAATTCTTGCTGCTAACGCCTAAAAGTGAGTGTGGCAATAAGTGATCGGGTGTTCCTTTGTGAAGTTAACTGATTGATCGTGTGCATAATTAGCAGTTAAAGAGAATACTTTTACATACGTTTGGAAAAACCCTCTTTCATAAAAAATGTAAACGACTTCAATTTGTTTAGTTAATTTTTTGCGGTCTGGTCGCCGCGTTACTAGAGGTGTGCACAACCAAGAAATACTATCACTAAAAAAGTTTTCCCTGACGGCGGTAAACACTCGGCTGCCAATGGCATGCCATCGAGCTTCTCATAAAAATACATCTCTGGTTAGGGAGTGGTATATAAAACTATAGATCCATCGATCCCTTCAGAATACTCATAATTTTTTGGGCATTCATTGTAGTCTTTAGCTTTTGATTTTTCTGTGGACAAACATTTTTGGGCAAATAGTTTGGCGGGCACACAAGTCCCTAAAAATTTAAGGAAAATATATTCTTTAAGGCAAATATGCATACGGAAGAGATCAAGATCTTACGGCGTGCATCACGGGTGCAATCTGAAGGAGCGCAAACTCGGTGGCGGAAGGATAAATGATACGTTTTTATAAGCCTTTCGGTCGTATGCTGATAGACGGCAACAACGCTCACAGCGTGTTGAATGCACGTACGATTCGAGGACTTGACCTTGACTTGGATCACTCACCTCACTGAAGCACAGATTATGCGTCATAATGCACAAGGAAAACTCGACGTTGAAAAGCTGCTATCTTAAGAGACAACCAACAAATTCGTCACTTAGTTTCCGCTTCGGCCCTCGGAAAGCATTATTCAACAAGCCAGTGCCTGCCAGTAATGAAACGAAACTTTTCCCTCGTTGCTGTGGAAGTACCCAATCGATTTTCAGCGAGCCGACAAATATAATTGGAATTACGAGGAATACCAAGCTGCCGCAGAAAAGAACGATGCAGCCTACAGCATCACCCTGCGATCAGGCACAAGGCTATCCTATGGAAGAGCGTATCAAAAGGTGACAGGGAAAGATAATAAGGAATTGACCGAAAGTGAAGAGTTCGAAGAAAATGGGTTCGATAAGTTTGCTAGAAAATTCGTAGCTTTTAAAACCAAGCGCGAGCTCTTATAAAAATAACAACGTTGACCTGATGAACGGTGGGCAGGTGCTGGCAGCAGTGGCGATAATTGTGGAGATAGTGGAGACCCCGCGTCCCCAATCGATGTTTTGTTCCCTGACCATTACGTGGTTCGAATAGCAATAGCGCGGCATAAAATTTAATAAAGCTGAAAGACCCGCTGACAACTGAGCTATTCAATTATTCTGGCAAGGAGTTGGTGAGGTAATGTGACGTTGAGAAACACAAGAAACTCGCTTAGTACTGGGTACGACCTCTAGAAAGAAGCCCACCTAATAACAAACGAGCTTCCCTTTACACATCTGAGAGGGCTGTATGAGCTTAACAGCGACATTGACAGCGTTGAGTCCGCTGACTAGGATACATAAAAAAAGGATGCCGCTACCGCGGTCCTGAGAATCCGATAAACCTCCTATCTGCAATTAGAAAATATGCCGCTTCTGATGAAGTTTCTAATGAAATTCGCTAATGGCCTCGAATTGAAAATGCGTGATGCAGTATTTCGAAAAATAGTAATTTCTAAGAAATTTGAGGTACACATTGCAGATCGAACTATCTGGAATGCAGGGAAATCCATAGACCAAACTTAATGGGGAGGTTTGGTACACATTGCAATCAAAACCTGATAATGGTAAAACTACGGCTGGTATATTTGGGCCGAACTGGGAAAAAATCGATAACAATGGGTAGCTATGCCACCGTATTTTAAAAGGTGATTCATGCTATACAAATTTGCGTCAGAAATTGCCTTAGAAGAGGCACATCTTCGAAATATATATATATTCTAATAAATTTTCAGCTAGTGCATGACTCATTCAAAGTGCTAAACGCTTATGGAGCCTAGAACACAGTTCTACTAGGATGAGTAGCGGGGCAAGATGGACATAAAACAAGGCACCAGCGCAGTATTGCATGGTGCGCAACCCTTTCGTGGGCTCTTTGGTCAGCGACATCAAGAGGATCATAAATAACTGAGTAGCGAAAATATTCAGCAGACCCTGGATGGAATTTCCAGGGCAGAGACAAGCCAAATGATATACCCGTCCTGCAAAGAAAGTACTTAATTTAGGCAGAGTGGGCCTTAAACTGTCACTGTGTACTACACGGGACAATGTTCCCTTCGTTCCTGAAAAAGATATCTGTGGCTTTTGTGAGTTGGACGAGGAGCGCCAAAACACATTCTCTGTGAATGTGGCGCTCTTGCTAGACGCAGACTAGCTCACTTGGGGGGTGCTACATTTAAGCCGTTTGAAATGTGAAACGCTTTCCCATATAGGGCCGAGGGTCACGCTTAATAGATCATGTTAGATGTCGCATATGGCCGTAATATTAATAATAATACCTATCAATGGCTGAGTTGAAGATCGACCCCTCTCGACAGCCGGTTTGGAAAAGCCCTTTCTCAGAAAATGTTTCAAGAACGCCCTATTTCATAATTTGGTTGACGAATACCCCATTTGAAAATTTTTCTGAGATAGGGCATTTACGAACCGGCTGCCAAGATAGGTCGATCTTCCACTCAGCCGTCGACATGTAAGTACGTTTTTGCTACTATGGGAGTTGAAAGACAGATGCTAGAATTGCCCTGCAAGTCTTGAAAATATCTTTCCGGTTAACCTAAATTTCTGGCAAAGTGGTATTAAAGCTGTAGGCTGTATTTTCTCATCTTCTCCCCGAGAGCTTTCGAACTGACCCTTTGCAACCTGGATTAAAATATATGTATGCACATTTATACAAATATATTTTTTTGTAGAATTGCTAACCTCCATTATTCAAAGTGCATTCACAAGCAAATGTATGTGTTTATTAAATGAAAGTGAAATTTTCGCAGATTTTCTCTCCAAGTCACGCGAATACCTCAACCAATTTGGTACGCTCTCACGCTGTTGGGTTTTCGATCGTCTCTTCATACTCACCGCTGACTACGAGTTTGTCACGCAGCTGTTAAATAGCGCAGATCATCTGAATACGGGCTACAACAATCTTTTGCAACCGGTATATGGCGACGGTGTGTTGAGACGAGATAATCAAGAGTGGCAACAGCGTCGTCAACTAATCACGCATGCGCTGCGACCAGAGGCACTAACAGATTTTGCGGAGGTGTTTGCAGCGCAAGCGCAAGTGCTGATCGAGCGGCTGCGTGGAGAATGCGATGGCAAAAGCAGCTTCAATATACAACCATATGTGGAGAGAGCGATACTTGATGTGCTGCTAGCAACGGCCGTGGGCGTAGAAGGGAAAGCACAGGTGGAGCTAACGAAGTCAGCGGATAGCGGAGCGGTGTATGCTGAAGCAGTTTTGGCGTAAGTTTTTCTTTTTTGAGCTCACATTTAATAACAAGAAAATAAGGAAATTGCATAATAAATAAGTACTGGTTTTTTCTGTACCATTTTTCAGGCTCATTCAACTCTTCACGTCACGTTTTCTTAGTCTACACTCTGCAAATGCCACAATCTACAGCATACTCTGTCCACTGCAGAAGCGACGTCAGAAGCGTCTACTGCAGACGATCAATCGCATAAATAACGAAATAATCGCGGAGCAACGCGCGGCCGCGTCTACTACAGCTGTTGATAAATCAAATGGCGCCATCTACACAATCCAAGTGCGTCAGTCACACGTTGAAGCAGCGCAGGCGCAGCAGCAGCGTGACTCACTTTTGAAAGCACTACTTGCGGCTAACATCGCCGGCGAGTCGCTGAGCAATGCGGAAATTTGTGATGAGCTAAATACGTTCATCTTTCAAGGCTGCCTGCTAACACCAGCGGCAATCTCATTTGCGTTGGTGATGATTTCACGACATCCCAGCGTACAGCAGAAAGTGCTCGAGGAGCTGTTGCACGTTTGGCCGAAGGGGGTGGCTCGCGATTTTACAGTAGACAATTTGATGAAACTTAAATATTTGGAGTGCGTAATTAATGAGACGCTAAGACTGTATCCACCACAGCCGTTAATAGCGCGCGATCTAAAGAGGAATTTCAACTATAGTAAGTTTTGAAATTTAGCCCAGAAAATAGTGAAATTTTAAAACTTTATTTAAATTTTAGCACACTTGCGGTTACGAAATGCCGTACTACCCGCTGAGTCCGAGATTTATATAAATATTTTTGAAATACTTCGTCAATCAGAGTGCTTCACGGATCCAGAATGTTTTCGACCGGAACGCTTTAGTCCCGCCGATGCCGTTGAAAATACAGAAATGCTCGCATGGGGCCTTGGTCCACGCAACTGTTTGGCTCAAAGGTACACCATGCTTTTGATGAAATCTGTGATTGCCCAACTATTGTTGGCCTATGAAGTCTTGCCATTTGGCGAGGAATTGTGTTTGGAAGTGAAAATTGTTTTGAGTTCTTCGAGTGGTTGGCAGTTGGCATTAAAGGAGCGCGATTACTAGAATTTTAAGTGTTTAGTTTATTTTTGTAGTTTTGGTAGTTTAAGTTGGCTTTAAAGGCCCATACAGGTACATAAGTATGCATGCATGTATATTTGTATGATTTGAATAAAATGTATAGCATAGGCAATTACTTAATCACAGCCAATCAAAATATACACTTATACATATATGGGGCGTTCCATACCAAAATGGACGGGGTTCACACTTCATGTGTTTGATTTGTTTAAAATTTTTAGGGTTGATGGATGAACATAAATAATAAATAAATATGAAATTTGAGCTTGACAATACATTTTTAAAAACATTTTTATAGCACAAAAACAAAAATTAATCGATTTAATAGTTTTCCAAATATCTCGAGAAAGGGGCGAGCAAAAAATTTGAAAAAATCCCACATACGCACAACAAAGTTCTCTATTAAATGAAGTATTTTTAAAATTTTTTTTCTTGAAAAATTTTTCACATACGATTTTTTTGATAAAAAAATTAGTTTTTTAGAATATGCCATCTCAACAAAGTTAATACTACAATTAAATATTGCGCAATACTCAGAACTACCATTGTGATTTTCTAAATTTTTTTCAGATGGCATATTTTCAAAAACTAATTTTTTTATCAAAAAATTTAGATGGGACAAAATATTTATATATTTAAATATTTCTTTTCATAATGAATTTTAATTTGTTTATTTGTGGTTTTTTTCAAAATTTTTTTCTCGCCCCGTTCTTGAGATATTTGGAAAACTATTAAATCGATTTGTTTTGGTTTTTGTGCTTAAAAATTTTTAAAAATGTATTATCAAGCTCAAATTTCATATTTATTTAGTATTTATGTTTATCCATCAACCCTAAATAATTGTGACGCCGTAGAATAAAATAGGACTTCCAATGACTTTGTGTGGTGATAAACAAATATGAAACATACATACATATGTCGAACAGTATACCCTTTCGTCGTTAAATATAAAAAAAAGAAAAAGGAGAAAGAAGAAAAATTAATATCGAGGTTTAACCAACACCACTTGAACGTTGCATCTTTTATTCATATAAACTATTTTGGTTTTACGTTTTTGTGACAACAGATATATTTTTAACATTTCCAGTACGCACGCGCTATATGTACCAGTATTTACGTATTCACTAACATTCGATTACAAGCAAATTAAAAAATAGTGATGAGCGCCGTCGAATACATTCCACAATGTTTCAGCAACATGTTGCTACTATTAATACAAATACATACTATAACATTGAGTTTGCAATGAAAGCAGTTAGCAATCATTTTGAAAACAATTCTGTTGGAATAACGACGAGGAATAACGGAGAATTTTATGTATCAATATTTTTTGTGCATGATTTTAAGCCTATTGGAAAAAAATACTTGGCCTTTTTAATAGCCCAATTCTGTATAGGTGACACAATTTTTTTACTGACAAATTTAAACTTTTTCAAATATTTTCTTATATGGCCATAACTTTAGAGAAGGTCTACTACAGTTTTTTTTTTACCAACTAGCTAGCAGTCTGCTCAAAGTGTTGGGAGCGATAAGAAATTTACCGATAGCAATTCGAAGAGGTGTTGGAAATTCTCTATGAAATGCCCTAAAATTTTTTCCTTACACCAAAATGTGTAGGTATCATCGAGTGTTCTAAGGACTGCGTTAAAAAAATGCTGATTCATACTTGCTACCATATTGTACTATCGAAATATTCAAATTAAATTTTTTGTATTTGGTGGATATATATTAACTCTGCATTGAATGCCAAAAGTCGGACTGAAGACCTTCAAAGTATAAAACGTACCAGAAAATAACTATTCCTAGAAAGAAAACGCAAAAGGATGAGATAATTACTGAAACATTTTTTTAATGCGTTTGCTGCGTACGAGATTATGAGACGTTCCTTTTGGTGGAATTTTCTTAGCATCGGGGACAGGCACTTTGTGCTGCCAATTCTCGAGGAAATGTCAGTGAAAAATTAAGGCAAAAAAGTAAAATTTTGTTTTATGAATTACTTAATGGCTGGTTATCTGCACATGGAAGTACAGTATATTTTGCTTAGCTGCCCATCCTTCTTTGCACGAAAAACTTGTGCGCTTAACCGAAAAAAGCACTTAAGCGAATTTTCTTTACTACTTCAATGAGGAAGGTATCCGAATCCCTATGAAACCAAATAATGGAGGAGCACTTACCACGTAGAAATTACTGCAAGAGAAATTTTTTCCGAATGGTATCTAATTATCTATATAACTACATAAAATAATTGCCGTTTCCGTTGTTCTGCAAGATAAGCAAAATAAATAATAGCTTGTAAAATTAGGGTAAGTGTAGAGCCAGTGCAGGTAAACGTAATACTTTCTTTGATAATTGATAGTAGTTGCAAATTTTTAAGGCAGGTATCGCTAATGTGCAGGTATGTTGAATGCATCTATCGGAGCAGTTTCCTTATAAATGTTAAAAATAATGCCGCTGATGCGCATTTTGGGGTAGGTATCTTAAATGTGCACTTAAGCACAAAGGCAGCAAAGCAAAATATACTGTAGCTCATTCGTGAAATCGGGGGCAATTAACCTTGAAGGAGTTTCAAACGATTAACGGTAATTTAGTGCCACCTGTGGATAGAAATCCTAGACCGAATCAGTGCTCGGACTATAAAAAAAAATTCTGTGTCGTAGAATCTGGAAAAAAATCTGAAGATTTAAAAAAATTTGCAGATCTCAGTTTTAAGTTAGTTTATTATTTACGAAAAAGAAAATATAATAAGTACTTATAGTGTCGGACAAAAAATGGGGTCGCGACATGTTGACAAATTTTGATATTTTTGGGATGTGTTTAATTTTCATTATTTTTTACACAAGTATAGCTTATCGCGTACAAAAATCATATAAACCGAAATTCCAAACGTTTTGCAAAAATTATAAAAATTCAACAAGTTTTCACCAAAATTTCAAACATTTTATTTAAAATTTTTTGGAAAAGTCTGCAGTTTTATAGCCCATTAAATTTTATTATAATAAAGTGTAAGTTTCAAGGGGCTATAAAATACCGTTGATTTTAATTTTTTTTAATTTTTTTTTACAGTCACGCATTTCATTCGATATAAAAATATGCATATATGTAATACTTCTATATTGGCAGTAAGCTATCTTCTCAATTTGTAAAAATTCCGAAATCAGAACCAGACAGTCTAGTACCGTTTTTGTCAATGTATTATGTACTTGAGTGCCATTTTTGTATATGTATTGTGTATATGTTTATTTATAAACGTATGAGTTCCTTTTCTTTCGTACTGATATATATCTGTACTGTAGTGTTTTCGGACGGTACTAGCTCTTACTGCCAATATAGGAGTATTACATATATGAAAATATGCTTGGAACATACATATATACTTTGAAAGGTTTCTGCGACTTTGCAGGGTGTTGCCAGCCTTGTTTTCATAACATAGTTTTCAGTGTTGGAAAGTGTTTTCCTCTTCAAATGAAAAAATAAAGAAAATAATGACGAGCAAAAATAAAACTACTCCAAAACGCGAATGTGTGGTATTCTAATCTTTTTCCGTATGTGCCTATCAGGCAGTGCCCGGTGATTACCCCGACTACTTATCTGAGAGGGGAGCGGTCCAGCCGGGTAAGAGCTAAGGATCGCTTTACATCAATCTTTGGCCAAATTTGCGTGGTAGTATGGCAGGTGGGTTCCACAGCCCCCCTTATATTTACCTCCTCAACGAGTTTCGCCTTTAGTCTGTGTTTGCAGGAGGTTAGAGGTATGGCCGCATTCCGAACAGAATTGAATATAGATATTTCCGTCCCCCTTCTTGCCAGCTCGACGGCTAGGCAGTGTCCAGGGACCCATACCACAGTCGAGCAGCATTTTGATGCCAGCAGGTTGAGAGTTTTCCTGCATTCTATGGCTACTTTGGACGTTTTTCCGTTAGAATTGAGAGATTTGAGAGCACCCAGACTGTCAGAATAGATAGAAAAAGGCCGTCCCCGATGGGTGGAGGTTATAAGCCACCGAGCCGCCTCCATTATGGCATTTAATTCTGCTTGAAAACGCTATAATGACCGTAGACCCTGGGTTCAGGTCAGTGGCCCTTTCCCACTCGTTCCTCTCTGGGATTCTTGTGGGGAATTTGTTGTCTGAACAAAGTAGAGGAGTGGTATAATCTATCTCTCGTAGATTATCCGGTAGGGATTCAAGTACTTTTGCGTGTCCGATTCTGAGGTCTCTCTACGGCTGGATTGTATTTAACCTGCCGGAAGATTTAAGATTATTTCCAGAGATTTGGTGGGTGCAGTAAGCAGGGCTGCGGTGACGAGCATGGCAGCCGTCCTCTGCACACGTAGAAAAGGATGCGTCTTATCATAGCTGTGTACATCCAGTTTACTATGATGGAACGTAGCTATGTGAAGAAATTGAATATTATATGGTTGACTTTTCTTCAAACGGAGAAACAACAAAGCCGAACGAAAACAAAGAAAATGTTGTCATTCTTCTGCAGGAGTTAATATTAGGACCGTAGGACCTGGGTTCGATCCCTAGTCCGAGTAACATTTAAACTCTCTCCTTAGGTCTCTCCATTTTTATGTAAAAAAGAAATTAGGCTCCATGTCTAGTTTTTTTTTACCAAATAAAAAAACCGTACAAGGTCCCTTAAATAGAGAATTTTTTAAGTTAGTACGTGTACATTAGATCAGGTCGGTCGCCATTAAAATAAAAAAAGTTTATATATAGTCCTGCCTGGTTGAAAGCTTACGAGTTAGAATTTTCCTTCCCTCTATCTTCGAGAGAAAAACAGAAAAAAATAGAGTGGAAACTTTTATATCACAAACATCCTGTCAAAATAATCTTTCAAACTAAGGTGATAGTTACAAACTTTTTTCGCGAGCCATCTTAATGTACATAAATGTAAATAGTTATATGTATATTCAGAATAAATTTTTTGTGCAAAAATTAAATATTCACATTATTGACTATTTCGCTCTTAAAGAGCTAAATTATTCATTATTCAAACACTTATATGTATGTATGTATGTCTTCCCCTTGCCCTTTCGACTAACTTCTTGCTACTACTAAACATTCACTTGCACTGCAAACGCCCCCGCTGACTGATTAAAACACAACCAATACTTTCTTACCCCAAAAACATTTCATCATCCATTTCTTAACATTCGATGCCAAGCCAACAATGA